CGTTGTGTTTACCAGCTTTTCCCACCCTTCTATGATTCTAGATCCGGCCTGGTCCCGACCTTTGGCATCCTTCGGTGTGCCCATTGCCTCTATCAACTCCGTATCTTGTCGTTTATAGCCATCTCTTCTTGGAACTCTACCCTCGTTTCTTCTACTTCTAGCTTATCTATTCTCCATCTGTACATTTTCCTGCGTCGCCTACTCTGTATGACTCTCGTTTGTTGTATCGCTGTCCACACCAACGCATGGTCTGTAGTGCCTACATCCGTTGTGCATACTCGTACTTCCGTCTCTTTCCCCCCATTCTCTACGACTACGTAGTCAAGGATGGAGCGTTCTCCTTTTCTTAAACACTGCCTAGTCCATTCCGGTTCTGTCTTTCGTACTCTACCGTGCAACACCTTCATCTCGCTACTGTCAAGGAACCTCAGCATTTCTTCCCCGTTTTTGTTCGTGGCTCCCTCCCCGTATTGCCCGATGGCTCCGTGTGGGTTCGTGGTTCGCCCGATTCTTGAATTGAAGTCCCCAACTAAAACTACTTCTCCCTTTCTCTTGAAGTGTTGTACATCCGCTGCTACCTCCTCGAACCCTATCTTGATGTCCTCTACCATATTCTTCGACTCTGGTGGTACATATACATTTCCCACGAACAAGTCCTTCCTTCCCCGTTCCCCTGGTACTCTTATCCACATGCTTTCGTTGAATTTGGTGTCGCTGATCACCTCGATTACGTCGCACATGTGCTCCTTGACTAAGAATCCAGCTCCCCCCTCCCCTCTACTCTTGATTTTCTGTCCTCTCCTCATTTGACCTATCCATGTGTAGCTTCCCACTTCTTTTCCTATTTCTCCCCCGNCCTCAATTACGTCGCACATGTGCTCCTTGACTAAGAATCCAACTCCCCCCTCCCCTCTACTCTTGATTTTCTGTCCTCTCCGCATCTTACCTATCCATGTGTAGCTTCCCACTTGTTTTCCTTTTTCTCCCCCGTCCTTCTCCCACGACTCTTGGACTCCGACTATGTCCATGTCTTTTTCGGCGGCTTGCTCGGCAATTTCGAGTCTTTTACGCTCATCTGTGGCAAACCCGCATACATTCCAAGACCCTAGTCTGATTTCCTTAGTCCTACTTTCTACTTACCGTGCCTTTCAGGATTCCTTCTATCCCTCGTTCGCCTTCCCTTCTGCCTTATCCTTTCGCTGCTCCCCCCTTCCCCTACTTTGGCTTGCTTTCCCTTTTGATCCTTTCGAACCTCCTGCCCCCCTTTGTTTTCAGCCAGCCTTGGGCTACGCCTTACTTCCTGGATCCTATTTGCTATGCACACCCTCCAACCTAGTCTCCTCACCCACGCCGACATCTTCTCTACTTCCAGTCTTTCCCATTCTGCGCTTACTCTCCTTCCAAACGTGATTCTAAAGTGGTTTCCTTCCCTTTCTACCCCCCTTCGTGCGAAGCAATATAATCATACTACTTCACATATAATTTTGAACTCCAACCTTGTCATGTCGTTATTGACCCCAAATATCAACACTACCAGTACTGCACCTTTCCATTCTCTTCTCCACCCTTTGTGCCTTGTCGTCTCCCTCCTTATTTCTTTCGAGAATAATTCGTTGTTTTTATTTGAAGTGGGATGCTTTCAAATTACTGGGACTTCCCAATCCTAGTACTTGTTGAGGGTCTGGTGTCTTTCAATTCTTTTGCCGGCTCACCGACACTAAAAAGTGCCTCCAACATGGGCTCATAGCCTGGAGCCAAGTTCAACACCCTTAGCACAAGTACCCCAAGTTTGTGCCAGGCGATCTGCATGGTAACCAACCCAAGCGTCCCACGACCGTATCTTCTCTCTACTTGCCCCAGCTGCTGTACTGGGTACTTTCCTCCGGGGAGGTCATTTTCCCCATGTAAGGTTCAAGGGTGGCTTGCATAACAGAAGGTCTCACTCACACATCGGGATGTCCGTCTCTTCCTTGACTTTTATGACATGCAAACATAAAAATCTCCTCGTAGACGCCAGATAGCACTATCTTCCCTGATGGCGGTCTAAGTCGACCCAGGGTTAATAATGAGTTACGGTCATCAACGTTTGTACGGTACACCATGGGTAGCTACACCACTCACGCTCCCGAGTAGACCTTCGCTGCCGGAAGCTTGACCAACAATCCCCCCACACTTTGTACCGGCGTCTATCCTTCAAGCTTCAAGATATCTACGTACCGCTTGGTGCTCCTTCTCTTTTGGGTCATTTGGTCGGTCATTTGAAAACAAGGTTCTTGAGTATGTTAGGTCTGACATTTTGTCTTGCATTATCCACCCCTCTCCTTGCGGAGAATTCAGGATAGTGTCTGACCAGATTCCCACCGCCCCATGGGAACCGGTAATGTTTTACGGTTATCTCACCACGAGTCCCCAACCTTCATGTGCATCGCACAGTTGACCAAAAGGATTGCTGTGTCTGTATTTATGCTTCGTTTCCGTTTTCGTGTTGGTGTGTAAGGTGGCCGATAACCTTCTACTCTTGCTTACTTTTGCGTTTTCAACTGTAACAAGGAAAAAAAAAAAAAAGGGAAAGCGTCTGGAAATGTATTTCGTTGAATTCAGTTATTTCATATCTGGCTTGTCATGTTTGTGTTACTTTATGGGAAAATAAATGGTCGGTTAGTTCAGCTCTTTCATGTCTGGCTTGGCGGGTTTGTGTTACGGTATGGGAAAAATAAAAAGTCGGTTAGTTCAGTTTTTCCATGTCTGGCTCGTCAGGTTTGTGTTACGGTATGGGAAAAAAAAAGTCGGTTAGTTCAGTTTTTCCATGTCTAGCTTGTCAGGTTTATGTTACGGTATGGGAAAATAAAAGGTCGGTTCGTTCAGCTCTTTCATGTCTGGCTTGGCGGGTTTGTGTTGCGGTTTGGGAAAATAAAAAGTTGGTTAGTTCAGTTATTTCATGTCTAGGGTCTGGTGGCTTGTTTTACAGCGTCGGTGCCACGCGACGCCAACCTATTCAAATTTTGCGAACAGG